TATACCCCATTTTTTCTAAGTTCCGTTATTGAATATTATAGGTGTGTAAACTCAGCAAAATATTCTAAAAGAGTCCAGCGGCCCATAATAGCATTGGGTCTTCTGTTTAACTGGCAATGTCTCTCTTTTTAAAGTAGCTAATCCTCACTTGTACTCATTTCATTAAGTAATGAACTGAAATATGTCATAGCTTCAGTCATTGTATTCTTTTTCACTGCATTGTTTAGAGTCAGATAAAGACATGAGTTAGATAAAGAAAATAGGTTTATTTTTCTTTTATTACATGTCTGGTTTGACCAACTAGGTGAGATCTCCCCATTTCTTGGGCTTGATTTGGGTTAGGACCTTGCATGTCCAACATTAGCCATTGGTATTGTCTTGACCATCCACTCCCCAAGGAGGTGACAGTCACTAGAATGAGGGTGACTAAATATGGAAGGATGTGAGAGAGAATAAGGGGATCCCCGCTGTGCTGGCAGAAAGAGCTTCCACTTTCCACGACAGTGCGCACTGGAGACGGCAGTAACCGTTTCAAGTGGACACTGATAATTCACCTTCCATAAAGTCATAGCTATGTAGAGCTGGTGGATGGGATCACAGTAACAGTGATGATAATACTAATACTAATGATAATATAATGGTCTTAATACTAGAACAACTGAATTCAAATGACATTACCTTTTGACCCATGGTTTTATTAGGTAATGGTTTACCATGAGGTGAGATATAATATTTATATTAAGGCATCTAGGCTCAAACTAAGAACGTATAAATACATGTTCTTAAAGGAGTTATATACCTATATACTTTCTTATGTATTTGGGATGGGGTCTGCAGACTCATAGTGATTCTCTTGTTTACAGCCTCCCAAGAACTGGGATTACAGGCATGCACCACCACACCCAGTCTCAATTGCTGTCTCAGTGTGCCCCAGGGGCAGGGCTGGGGGCAGGGCCTCGAATCCCTGGCCTCTGCACCTGTTTGCAGGTGCTCTAATCTGCTGAGCTATTTGGCCTGCCCTAGGACTTCTTACTTTCCGGAAGAATTTCTGTTTCAGTTGTTGTAGTCATGTTGTATAGTGTATTTTTCAAAATTAATCCAGATTTTAAAATTTTTTAGTAACCATCAAAGTCTGGAAGATAAGACTGAGATATTATATGGTATTTACAAGACTGAAGATTTTTCACACCTTGTAAAATAAAGATATCCCCATTTTCTCCTGCCTTTATTCTGCTTCAATAATGAAGTTGCTGAGGATGTATACACATAATGTCATATTTTTCTTTTTCATCTTAAAAGCACCTAAGACAAAGTTAGGCATTTAATAAATACTTAGGCAAAAAAGCACTTTTTAAAAATTTAGTGTCTGTCAAAACCCCTTGGGATTTATAGCTTGTTAATCCCTACTACAACAAATATAGATTATGTTATTGGATAAGAAATAAAACTTAGAAGTTATGCAATACAGACTTCTATAATTAAACATACTGAAATAAACTAAAGTGAATTTAAGGTGCTTTGAGTTCTAGCCCTCCCTCAGCAAAAACCTATTTATGGTATGATCTGGAATAATCCTGTTGATGCCATTGATAAATGCAAAGAATCATACATGAAAGTGCAACTTCTATAATTCAAGAAACGGAGAGAAGTGTGTGTAAGTAGAGGATTATGTAGTCACTTCGTGCACATAGTATTTTAAAAGACGGGCATATGAACAAATTAGCCAGACAAGACTCTTGTACATGCCTGACCTTGACTGTTTCAATGGTATTATTACTCACTGAGGCGGTAAGGTGTTAGGTTTCCATTGTACGATATTTTCTGTGTTTCAAATTCACTTTGCTTTCTACTTATGCCCAATAAACAATTAGATAGATGCCCTTTAAAATGATGACTGATAGCAATAACTAATGTTTATAGAGCTTTCACTAAGGTCAAAACCACGTTCTGGACACTGATGTCAAGCGAAGTGCTTTCAAAACTCTTATACAACAAAAAGGTACAAGATTTATCTAGGTTATGCGCTGCAGAGAAAAAGAAAATGACTAAATTAAAGGCAGGAGAGATTGAATGCTTTTTCTTTTCAAGTTTACCTTCTGTCCAACATATGAAAAGTCTAACTCTACTTAGATCTTAGTTGAGTGTTTTTCTTTCTTTTTTACTTTTAGAAAAAGTTGCATGCAACTCCCTTGAAATGGTGAGTTAGATCTTAGTTGAGTGTTTTTCTTTCTTTTTTTTTTTTTTAGAAAAAGTTGAAAGCCACTCCCTTGAAATGGTGAGTTGTACTTACTAAGACATGCTGACAGAAATGGTCCATCTCTCTTCCAGGGAAACAAGCAGGAGCTGAAGTACTCCATGAAAGGAATCAGAATTAATAATGGCAGGATGCTGATGGCATTCATTACTGCAATTGGCAGAAGAAATCCACCGGAACTGAGGTTGGAATACATTGTTTGTAGATAATAGCCTGAAGGAATCTGCATTCAAGGGAGGAAACAGCCATGTAATCAAAAACAGTGGTTTAACTTTGAGGGAAGTATACTCTGTCAGATGCCCTGTCCTTAGTGTGCACCCTCGGACAGAATAGGACGTTCCCCAGGTCTTCAAAGTCATAATTATGAGTTGCTAAAGGGTCTTTAAACAATACAATCCCTGTTTAGTGCATTGACAATACTACTGTTCTACTAGGAAGGATTCTTGTCTTTCCTTTAGCTTATCTTCTTAATTTTCTCATGACGAGCATTAGTAGCCTTTTATGCTTTGGATGACACAAATCAAATCACTTCTCATGTCAGCAAAATGATTTCATGCTCACTAAAACAAAAAAGAATAGAAATATATTAAGGATGTCTATTTTCACCTTGATGGGAGTTAGAATAGATCTTTTAAATAACATCTAATTGGGTAGTAAAATAGGAACAATGTTTTTCCTGATGTACACAGTACTTGTTGGAGGTCGCCTTTCTGGGTTCCATAGATTGGTCTTGCTTTGCATGTGAGTCAAATCACATGAAAAAAAGAGAAAGCCAACCTTTCTGCATTTGTAGTCTCCTGTAAATGAACTGTGTGGCATGAGTGGGGCCTGAAGGAAGCTCTGTAAAAATTGTCTGCATAATCAACAAAGAGAAGAAAATTCAAAAGAACCTCGTATGTTCTACCCCAATATATTGCAAGAATTTTTCCCTCACATTTTTTAAGAAGTCTAAAGATTAACTAAATTAGAGCCTCGTTTTGATGCCAGGCCTTGTGGTAGGTGATGACATCAGTGCAAAGCCACTGTGTCTCATGAAAGAGGCCTCTATCTACACTTCTCTAATTCATGAACTTTGATACAATCATCACATTGCAATTAATGTCATTAATTCATAATATATCTTTTTTTTTGAGAGGAGGAGTAATTACTGGGAAATCTAGGGCCTTCACACTGAGGTATAGCTCCATATCTTTTTTTTTTTTTTTTTTTTTTT